GAATGAATGAAAAACTTTTTTTATTATTGGTCTAAAATGTGAAATACGACGTAAAAAATTTGACAAAAATCTCATAAAAAGTTTTCAATTCTCTATAAAAAATTTAATTTTCCAAATATTTTTATGATTGTAGTCAAATCACTAGACAAAATTCAGCTCTTTATTTTGATAATAACACTTTTTTGATACAATAATTTTGGTGAAGTATATCCTTTCACAAGTTTTATGAAAAAAACATCATTTTTTTCTTGTTATTTAGCTTTTAAAAACAAAATATAATATAAATGTCTAATTTCTCTTATTTAATATTAGTTTTTACATATAATAAATATAAAAACATAATTAAAGTGTTCTGAAACTTAATATTTTTAAAAAAATCCTCCGAACGTGTTCGGATACCTTAACCCTTTGCACTCGAGGGCTTGACTCTCTGGTACCGTAAATTCTCTACCAATCTTAATGTAAACACTTCATTTAATGACCTGCTGGTGCTATTTGGTAATTGTGCTAAGATTTTGTCTTGCAAACTCTTTGTGGCTGCTTCCATTTTTTTAACAGTAAAAAGAACTTCGAAAGCACAGTTTTTTGCTCAAAGTTAATTGTTTATTTTTTAGAATTTTGTTCAAACTGAACTAGAAAATAAATTGGACTACATCAAGTCTCGTGACAAATCTAAAGTATTTTTTCCATACAGTAACGACTCAATTTACTTTAAAATCTATTAATAACTTGAGTAAAAAAACTCCTTTAGTTTAGAATAGAAAATAAAAAACATATTCATTACACATTTTTGAAAAACTTTGTAATCAAGCTTCCAACAAAGCAGCGGAAAATTTAGATTTAATAGAAGGTAATTTTTATTGTTTAAGGTGAAAGTATTAAGCTAAGGAAGCTTTTTCAAAGGTGACATTTTTACTACTCTGTGTTTTCTAAATTTGTATTATATAAGTTTTTGAACCTTCTTTTAGAATACTGCACAATATATAGAAGCATGTAACTGCCTGTGGAGAAAACGTAGTGTTTTTCGAAAAAAAACGATCTTAAAAACTCCTTCCTGAGAAATTTGAAAATATGTTTTACTATTATATTGCCTCTAGCCATTTCAATTTTGTTTTAATAAAGCAGAACTTCACACCGAGAAGCTCCAGTTTTTCACAATATTTATTTTCTGAAAAACAATAAACCCTTTCTGATGTAGAAAATTCTGAATGAAAATTTTAGACGGGCAACTGCAACTGTGTCGAATTCTGAGAAAAGTGAATTCTATGTTGTTTAAAGAATAGCGGTTTTCTAAAAAGAGGTGGAAGTTTAGTAGCAAATTGTTTTACAATTTTAGTGGTTTGTAATACTTTTGGAATGAGTGTTGCTAGACTCGACACGGTGCAACGGAAATGGATGATCAAGCAAATTGTTACAAAATTTTGCAGGAACTTTTTTTATCAGGTCTTATGTACATATATTTTATTTACTTAATTGGTATGGCTATCAAAATCATTTTAAATGAAATGTCCATTTTTAACAGCTCGACTTTAAGCAATTAAGTGACGTTGATTATTTTTTACACAGATTCAACAATGATGCCCATTTTTGGTTCTCAAGAAGATTAGGTATTGAAGATGACATAGCACAAAACATTGGAATTCTAGCCCAGGGAGACAAAAAAAATTACAGCTCTTACGGTAAGATTTGACGGCCTGTATTTTTAAGACTCCCCAAACTTTATTTTAAAACTGTAACCAAACTATACGAAGAAAGTAGCAAATCATGAGTGATAATTTAAAAAATGCGCTGCTTTGTACCTCATTGTTAATTTTTTTTGCAGTTTTGCAGATCATACATTATTAAGAAAATCATGATTTTTTTTAAATTTTTTATGGCTATCCGTGCCTTTCATTTCATAACTATCCGCTATGATTTTAGATAAATTCCTGTAAAAATATCACGATGCTATTTTGAGAAAAGGCAAAAAAAAAAAAAAACGTGTGAATTTAAAATTTTTCGATTGTTTAAATGGCTACACCTTCTAAAAGCATCAATAGCCCAGGAAAGTGCTCGATTACAGAGCCTTTTCTAATCGTGAGCTTCACTCTTCAATCAATATATAATGGTTTCGGTTTATAAAAAGTCAAAAAATATTGGGGAAAGATATCTATTGAAAAATAAGGCACAGCATGACTAAAAAGGAAGGGCAGCACAAAAATGCGGATAATAAGCAATTATAAAATAAATTCATCTTGCACAATTGAAATATACATTATTATGCTTGAAATTAAAATATGATAATAATCTGTAATGATTAATAATTAATAAAAAACATGCAGTAGTTGAGCATATACATTGTAACTTACACAGATTTAGAACAAGTTTAAGTATCTAAAATTGAAAGTTAATGAAGCTAAGGCAGAAACCCATATACAAGAAATTTGAGTTAAAAGGGAAAAGTAAATCAAATTAAAAAACAAAAAATTTAAGGAGAGTATGAACTTGTGATAAATAACATTAGCACAGATTCTGTTATTTAACACGTTGAATGCCATGAGGGTGACCGGCACTGAGTTTGTTCGTAGCGCCACGGGGTCACCGGTGACCAGCGAAACCAAAATTATTTGAAACACACAATTCGAGTAAATTTTAATTTTTTAATATTATCGTTACTAAAATGGTTTGAAGAAATTAATGCAATATAGAACACACAAAATAGTTTTATTTATATGCACAGAGATGCCAACTTGCTCCGGACAGCAACTAAATATTTTCAAGTGGTAGTTTATTAATTGTGATTCTTGGTTTAATAAATTCAATTTAGCAGATTTTTATCCTCCACTATTTCTAAGCAATTCGTAGGCTTATATAATTCAACCCTTTTTTCTGATAAGTCATGTTAATCTTTCAAAAAGCTAGCAAACCTGTCTAATATTTGCAAATTTAGTTTGTAGTTATTTACCATTTGGGCAGCATGTCCTTTTTTGGACCTTGTGCCATTAAACCCCACATTCAATTCAATTTATTTACCATTTGACCAAACGGGCAAGGCGTATAAAATTAGCGTGGCATTCAACGTGTTAACCAAGAATTTTAGGGCAGAAAAACGTCAAAAACTGAATTTCGTGCTAACTTTGATTAAGCGTAACTCTGAAAATCAGCAGTGCCCCTTGGAAACGAATGCATGTCCATAACTAGACATTGGTATGCAAATAATAACATATCAGAGAATAATAAACATCAAAGTAAGTAGACGTTTTTGTATGTGATTTCGTAGCTTTAAACATCTTCCGCTCTAACTGATTAGCATATTTGAAGTCGAACCATTAAGACTGAGTGAAAATCTGATCATTGAATCAAGAGTTATTCAGATGTTTCATTTATTTTGTTGCACACTGTACGCTAACTATCAATTATAATGTAACATTCAAGTTAAGTAGTGTAGTACAGCTATATTTTTGTTTTTATGCACGTTTACTGACACATTTTTCTCATATTCAGTGCCATTTAACAATGAGATCGATGAATGTGCATCGATGCCAGTGACTGCCCATTTTAGTTTTAGGCCAATGCCAGCAGATGAAAGCATTCGAAGTAATCCAAGATTGTAAGTTTTGATCATCCTTATTTTGATTCAATTTTTACTGTACAATAAAGAGTTACTAAATCTGAGTGTACTAATCCTGTTAATACAATAAATACTTTTGTGTTTAGATTGCATAAATATGTTTCGATAAATTTATATTTATAGAATCAATAAAATTGGTTTGATATATTTAATCACGTCCATGTGATCATCGGAAAAACCCGTTTGCCTTACCAAAGCAATATTAGAACCAAAGCAATATTGGGAGGATTAAAAAAAAAATTACAAAATTAAGGGTAGTGACTATATTTTGTTCAGTCAAAATATGAACTCTAAGATTTTTTTCAAGAGTTATTAAAGTAATAAGTCAGGCATATTTCATGGTACAGTTTCAAAAAAATTTTGAAAGGATACATATAAATTATTAAAGTCAATGATAATATAAATGCAATGATAAATGTTAATTCAGAAATGGGTTAGTAATTACAGTGAATGTTAATTCAAACGCATTCAGTCAAGGCAATGACTTTCATCTGTTTTTAGACAGGCCCAATAATCCCGAGATAAAGTAATGATATTTTTTTTTTTCAGTTTCCTTCACCAAATTTATTTTAATTACTTTACCTAACTTACATTAAACTTAGATGACCGAACTTACTTTTCCTTTCGTTGCCTTGAGTAGGTATTACCGTTTAATTTGGTCTCTCATAAAACTGTCTTTTTTATATAAACGTGAATTCCTTGATCCCTAAGTACTCTCTTCCTATCACGAGAACGACATCAGGCACCAGACTCGTGTATTAAAAGTTACAGTAATTACGGTTACAAATCACTTCAAACAGGATTGTGGAATAAGTCATTTCACTTTGGTATAGGTTATGATAGTCATGCTAACTGAATATAGTTTTACTATTATTTACAGCAAGACAGATAACTTCAGACTTTCACTTGCGGGAACAGTTCTCGTGATGGCTGAACAATATTCCAGTGATATATGTTTCTTTTTTTTTGCCAGACTTATTTTATAACACCGTTCGATCAGCTTAGAACATAATTCATAATGCCTTCTTCATATGGTGCTGTAATTGCCATTGAACTCTATATTTAACTCAACAACAGAAAGCAATAATTGCAATACAGTATTCTTTGTTTCAGACTATCAATTTATGATGCAGCCCTAGTGTTGATGATGACGCGTCACTTTCGCCCAATACGACGATTTCGAGTAGCTGCCATACGGATTATAATTGAGGTAAATAATTTTGCAGTTTCTATCGATTTCTACCTTATCATTCATGTTATCAGATAAAGGAAAATATTTCGAAGTAAAACTCATAAAATTAAAAATGAAATAAAAATTGTGATAGAAGAATTTTTAAAAGCTCATAATTTTTTTAAAAAAATAAGGGGTTAAGAGAAATAGAACAGTTTTTAAAAATTGGTCTAGGTTACAAACATTATATATCCTGTTAGACAATGTAAATAATTTCATTCCTAAAAAGCCTCAACCAGTTTTTAAATGTTTTTTTAAAGCAGGTAAAGGATTCTTAGCCTAAGAACGACAGTGAAGGCGTTGTTATTGACATTATCTTCAGCTAAAATTAATTTAATGCTGAAAATGATTTTTATTTCTTTTGCAGAGCTTTTCCATTGTAGTTGAGGTTTGTTTGATGTTGAATATGATTTTCAATCCTTTTGTGTAACTTTGTCCTTAGAAAATATTTTTCCTTTTTCTATAGAAAGTATTGGTTTTCTACTAAACCCTGTTACATTTCAGTTAAACTTTATAGGAATACAATTTTGAAATATTCTTTTTGAATGCTAGGTATCATGAGAATAAAGTATTTTCTAATACTTTAATACTTCACTAAAAGGAGTAGCTGATTTATATTTTAGGCCCATTTATATATTACAAAATAAGACACACAACTATTTTCTTTAACAACATTTCTAAATTAATATTTTTATATATCATTTGTTCATCTATTTCCAACACCAAATTTGCTCTTCAAAATATGTCAGTTTGTTAATTACACAATCCAGATTGTTAAATGTTAGACTCCCATTACATGTAATATAAACATAAATACAATACCTCAAAAGTATTGTAATCAAATTATATCCTGTAAAAAAAATTACGAAAAAAAGGAGAGATTTGTCAACAATTCAGGCCAGATTGTTAAATATTTGACCCTCATTACATAAAATTTAAACAAAACATCTCATAAGTATTGAAATCTAAGTATATTTAGTAATAAAAGTCCATTTATATATTATAAAATAAGACAAAATTCCCACAACTATTTTCTTTAACAACATTTCCAAATTAATATTTTTATGTATCATTTGTACATCTCTTTCTATCACCTAATTTGTTCTTTAAAATCTGTTAGTTTGTTAATTATACAGGCCAGATTGCTAAATGTTAGACTCCCATTAAATATAATATAAACATAAATAAAATACCTCAAAAGTATTGGAATCAAATTATATCCAGTAAAAAGAAATTACGAAAAAAAGGAGAGATTTGTCCACAATTCACGCCAGATTGTTAAATATTTGACCCTCATTACATAAAATTTAAACAAAACACCTCATAAATATTGAAATCTAAATACATTTAGTAATAAAAGTCCATGGAAACATTAAGGAGCTATCTTTTTAATTAGTTCTATAAACAGTGAAATATTAAAATCAAGCAATAAATTCAATAATTTCTCTTAAATTAAGTACGGAATTCTGGTTACTAAAAATTGATCAGCGTTATTCAAAAAAATTTTTTTAGTTCACTTCGTTTTATATAACGTAATGAATATAGATTTCTGTTCCATATTCCTAGTCAGACAAGCACTATATATAAACATTCTCTTTTTACGTCTCTAAGAATGCAAATAAAAAAGATATTCTTCCTTGTCGTGGAAAAATTTAATGCTAATGCCTGTTTCTATAGCAACGTCGGCAAAGAAAAGAAGCCAGTAGCAAGATGCAGGGCCAGATTTCAATTGAATCTCAAGATAGTTCACATAAGTGGAAACCTAAAAGCATAAGGTATGAATTGCATTACATTTATGAAATTGGATCTGAATAAAAGATAAATTCCTGCTAAAAATCTAGGATAAAGACAAAATATATTTCATGAATGGTTTTATTTTATATTTTTAAATCTAACATTTAAATAAATGAATTTCTTTAGGTGTTTTAATAAAAAGGTTTTTTTTTAACGTATATGTCACAGAAAATTTTATTACGACATATTTTATTGATGTATAGAACAAAATAAAAAACGGACCACCTTGAATAACTTTTGATCTAATGAGCGTATCTTCACGTTATAGGACTTAATCTTGATTGTTCAAGGGGATGAACTTAAACATGCTAATTAATTAGTGCAGACGACATTTTAAGTTAAGAAATCAGACACAAAAACGTACTTTTCCAGAATAAACGTAACTTTGTTTTCGACAGAATCAGATTTCTGACTCCCAAAATATAGAGGGTGGATACAATCTGGGTAATATGGTTCCATAGTTTGGTCAGGCGAGAGGTCCAAAGTTTCGACCCCTTAAAGTTAATTTTATTTTTTTGAATAATTTGCCATAATTAGAGATTTTTTAAAAGAATTGAAAAATTTTTGCTAACAGATATTAAATTTATTTATCCAAAGATAATCTTACGGAAAATATAACTTCTAACAAATATTTATTAATTTTTATTGTTTTATTTAATTAATGGTCGAAAATCTTTTGAATTGTAAGTTATAATATTTTTTACATCATTTTGAGGAATATAATTTTACATGACAAAATACAAAATTTGTACAAATTCAGTTCCTGGAAGTTCCAAAATAGTTTCTGGGAAAGAGAATTGTAAAGAAGCCGTATTTTTAAAATTTGATTTCTCAGGAACGATTTACCCGATTTCGCTTAAATTTTGTAATTTGTCATGTAAAATTACATCTTTCAAAATGATGCAAAAAATTTTATACCTTAAAATTCAAAATATTTTTGACCAGTATTAAATAAAATGATAAAAAATTATAATAATTTACTGAAAATTACATTTTTCAAGGAATTATCTCTGGATAAACGAAATTTATAGTTGTGTGCAATTTTTTTAATTCGCTTAAAAAGTTCTCGAGATATGGTGAAATACGCGAGAAATAAAATTAACGTTAAGGGGCCTAAACTATGGGAGATATTTCCCAGAGTGCAGTTACCCCCTATATCTAAGGGGTCATAAATCCGAATCCATTGTGAAAGGGTATGTTTATTCAGAAGTACGTTTTTGTGTCTGATTTCGTAACTTAAAACATTGGCTGCATTAGCATACGTAGTTACCCACTAAAACCTTTAAGATTGAGTCCTAGAACGTGAAAATACGACCATTAGTTATCAAAAGCTATTCTGGGGGGGGGAGTCGGTTTTTTATTTTGTGCACTGTTCACACAATTATGTTTTATATTTGCGTCCTCACAATTATGTTAGCAAAATTAAAGTTTTAATAAATTAGAATTAAAAGAAATTTTTGCGCAACTAGTTATAAATAGTTTAAGCACGGGCACAGAATCAAATGTTTATGTTAATAACAGTTTCATAAAAATTCTATGACGTTGAAAATTCTCTGCTTTATTTCATTACTGCTGGAAAATATAATTTGCTAAAATTTCAAATGTTTGGTAATAGTAAGGTCTTATATTATAAACTTTTATAAGTAACTTAAAGAAGCTGAGAAAGAAATCCAGTACGTTTATAAAACGCACAATTTTTTTCGTCTTTGCACATAATTTTGCTTTTTGTAATAATAAATATGCGTCGGATACAGCTAACATAACGTATTAAAAAATTACAGATACAAAAATATTTTGGCTAGAAGAATTAACCCACTCAAGTAGTCCCAAGTCAAGTAGTGATGCTGAATACATTTCATCTTTATTCCAATAAGATGAAATGTATTCAGCAACAATTAAAATTAAGTAAAAAATTTAAATTATTTTAGTACATGAATTGAAAAAGTTAGTGAAAGAACCAGGTAAGTGATATTTTCAGAACGAAAAAGAATTTTACCCAATCTATTTTATTAATAATTTATTAAAAGGCGGGACTAATAATTCTTTGCTTTATTTCATTTGCCATTGCCTAATTTTAAATAAAAATCATGCAAGCATACTAAATACTAAAGTGATTAGCTATGTGAAGATTTTTTTAAAAAAAGATGGCAAAAACAATTCTGTTACATTAAACATACCTATATAGATGCCACCACCTATCGTTATTTTCTCTAATTCATTAATTCCCTTAAAAATTTCACTTACCTGGTTCTTCCATCAAATTTTTTGTATAGGCTTTTCAGTTTAAGCATGATTACGTAAGTGTTTCTCAGTACTGATTTATTTATTCTTTACTTATTTTTTTTTCACCCCGTGCGAAGAACGAATATTCAGCTAATAATTAATAAAACTAGTATACAACCGGCATTTCGTGTCTGTAAAACCGTTTCTCCTTTCAACGAGTTTGTATGCAGTGAAGTAACGTTATAGTAACATTTTTAACACATTTTTGTAACCTTACTGATACCCAGTGATAGCGCAGCAAGTAACGTTATAGTAACATTTTTAACGCGTTTTTGTAACCTTACTGATACCCTGTGATAGCACTGAAGAGAGAAGAAAGAAGAAGAAGGAAAAAGAAAGATCGAATCCTGATCAATGTATTTTCTTTGCTTTCTGATACATGTAAAAAATGACTTTTTAACTTAATCTTCGTACAACAATTAATTCAGTCATCAGTCGAGTCATCTTAAAATTGTGAAATATTGTGGATACCCCTTATTCGGGACTTTAAAAAATTACACATTTATCCACAATTTTAAACTGCTGTTCAATTTTTATAAGATAATATTTTGGTCATCATCCGAATTAATTGTGAAATAATGGTTGAGCAAAATGTATACTGAAAAATATTAAGCATCTGAAACGCCGAATTTTAAGATCGGGTAAAGTGTTAAAATTGTTCGGTATACCAGATGTATCAGGAATACTATAAGTGAAAAATGAATTGAAATTCGACAATTACATAAGTCGCCCTCTGGTGGCAAATTTCAGAATAACATATATTTTCACTCTGTTTATACATATATTTATTAAATTGTTTACTCAATTATACATATATTTTTATTACATATATTACAATTATACATATATTACTCAATTTATACATATATTTATTAAATTGTTTACATAATTTCACAATTTTATATGTTTCAGCTATTAAATATTATGAAATAGTGAGTTTTAATTTTCGATATACCACAGTAAAACTTTATAACATAAAAAAGGCTTTTAATTTATTATGAAAATAAATTTCTAAACATGATTAACTTTTTGTACAAATAATGAATTTTATTATTCGATTAACTTCCAGTTCAATAATAAGCATTATGCCTTGATTTTTGATCCAAAAATAAATTTCCGTAAAATAAAAATTTAGTACTTCCCCGTAGCATCTTGCACGTTCATGTATTTAAGTTCTGAGCAATGAAGTTATTACAAAACAGCCCAGTTTCTAAACAGAAAAAAAAACACATTCAAATCGTATTTTCTTGCTGTTTACCTCTGATTAACATTATAAAAAAAACTGATACTAAACTGATATAACCATGCTGATTTTCTTGTTTTTCTATAATAAACAATTGTTTTAAAACACTACTGAGAAAAAAAAACAGTTAAAAACGTTTTCAAACAGTTACTAGATAACACCATACAAAATTTTCACTAAGTTATAAGTATTTTAAATCTTTAAAGCAATAAATTATTATCAATTTAAACAAAATTGTTCAACTTACTTTTTACTAATTTATCACATGAATAATATAATTTCGAAGCGGATTATTTTTCAATTTTCTTTTTATCTTTTATAAAAATGTGGGAAGTATTCCCGCCAACTTTAGTGATTTCTAAGTGTCAGTTAAAAGCTATTTTCCCATTTATGATTTGTGCGGTCATCTGTTAAGAACTTCAGAAGATTAAAAAAAAGTAAGAAATATTAAAAGTAGGCTTTGTGTACGTAAATAAAAACCAAGTGGAAAGAACGGGTTATGCCAATTTTTCAAAATAATTGCAATTGGGTCACCATATGGCATTATAAGGATTACAAAATTTTTACAAATCAATAACGTGGAAAATAGGCTCTTCCCAAGAGTTATTACAGAGTGAAAATGCATCCAGCTATGAAAAAAAAAGTACTGGTCACGCGCTTCCGTCATTTTTTTTCGGACTCAACTTCATGGACACAAATCGTTTTCTTCCACTTTGATCTTCAGATGTGGGTAACAGTAAAGGTTACGTGGGTTCTAGAAGAGAGACCCAAATTGGGAGCTATTTTTTCTTGAGCATTTTATGTTCACTCATTTCTCATCTAATTTATTTGTCAAGTTATTATATCAAGTATCTTTCTTATTAAGTATTAAAAATGGAACCTTGGAGGTGCCAGTGTTTGAACCCGGGGCCTTTTACATGCAAAACGAACGCTCTACCACTGAGCTACTATAAACACAGAACCACTATAAACACATAATTTATAAATTTGGTTACTTTTAAGCAAATAAATTCAAGTTTATTACAAATTCTTTACAGTAGGTAAAAACGTAACCCATATACCTAATAAAAAAAAACTAAATTAAGCTTTGGTTGACAAGTTAATTTTTAATTTCTTTTCATAAATCAATCCCAAAACTGTTTTAACACAACTTTATTAAATTTAAAAAAACTAAATTATGTCTTAGTTTACAAGTTAATTTTTAATTTCTTTTCATAAATCAATCCAAAAACTGTTTTAACACAACGTTACTAAATTTAGAAAAAAAATAAATTATGTTTTAGTTTACAAGTTAATTTTTAATTTCTTTTCATAAATCAATCCCAAAACTGTTTTAACACAACGTTACTAAATTTTAAAAAGACTAAATTATGTTTTAGTTTACAAGTTCATTTTTAATTTCCTTTCATAAATCAATCCCACAACTGTTTTAACACAACGTTAGTAAATTTAAAA